ATAAACAAATATAAATAATGCTGTGAATTCCTCGGATAATTTCCTACCAATTATCCTGTTACGTGAATGTTGGAACGCTTCACGTAATAATTATCCGTAACTCCTATTCTTTCCCGCTTCACAGCATTATTTATATTTGTTAAGAAATGTATTTGTTAAATATATATATATATATACTGGCAATAATAATTTTATCCTGGATAAAATTTTATCTTGGATTGAAAAATTGGCCCCAAGATTACAATAATAACAAGTTTAATTTGTCTGATGAAAATAAAATTGACAATCAATCTGTTGACGGTGGTATTCAAAACCATAAAAAAAATGACAATTTAAATGATTTTAATAATTATTGTCGTGATTTTGATTCAAAAGATGGTGGTGAATTGAGTGGAGGTGATGAAAATCGTGAAGATGATGAAGTTGGTTAAGTTAGTGATTATGATTCAAGAGATAGTAGTGAATTGATTGAAGGTGATGAAACTCGTGAAGTTGATGAAGTTAGTGATTATGATTCAAAATATGGTAGTGAATTGATTGAAGGTGATGAAACTCGTGAAGTTGCTGAAGTTAGTGATTATGATTCAAAATATGGTAGTGGATTGAGTGGAGGTAATGAAACTCGTGAAGTTGGTGAAGTTAGTGATCTAGGTAATAATGATAATTATTTAAGTGATAGTTACAGTAGTTACTCGAGTGATAGTGTTGATTGTTTCAGTAATAGTGATGATGATGATGATGATGATGATAGCTTCTCTGAAAGTGATTTAAATAAAAACTCTGTACTCAAACCTGACAATGATTCTAATTTGAAAAACAATACTAACGCTGTGAACAATATTCTGACAACCAAAAGATACATTTACCAATTCATAGGTACATTAGTAGTAGCTTCATCAAAAATTTTGATTGATAATAAAGTTGAATCGGAGTTATTGAACCGTTATCTCCGATTAGTTTTACCCAATAAATTTAAAATTACGTGTGTGTTAGTTTTTAAAGATGGAATAAAACCTGCTGGAAAAAATAATCAGTTATTTCGCACGTATAGTAGATGTAAGCAGCCTGGTTGTCACATCAGACTTAAATTCAACGGAAAAATAGTGAATTCGAACGCTGTCATTAGGATTTTTGCCACTCGTGATTCATCAAAACATGATGTTCCATTGAATTATCAATTAAGAGGGAAAGCAAGAAAAAAAGTTCAACAATTTCTATGCTATGCAAAGCCATCGACAGTTCAGACAAAAGTTTCAAACAAGTGGAGTAAAAAGTTGGCGAATGAAGATCATAATTTTCAGTTTAGATATTCTCAGGAAGTTCTACAGAAAGCCAAATCGGAAAAACTAGGAGAAAATGATAAGCATTCGAGTGATAATGTCGACATTATTCTGAAAATATCTGCTGCAAACAACAATCATCCATATATTCGCCAATTTATTACTCCATTCACTATATTTATCTCGGTATGGAAGAACAGATAACATTTTTAAAAAATAATAATAATATTGAGAACCTAGTTTTACACTTTGATGCTACAGGGTCGGTAGCAAGAAAACCCGATGCTGAGTCGTAAAGAATTTATTATTATGCAGGCGTGATTAACTATGCTAATAAAATATACCCCATATTGGAAATGATCACGGATGACCATACATCAGTTTCTATCATAAAATTCTTGGATTTTTTCAAAAATTTATGGCATATAAATAAATTGAAATTTCCTTTATTTCAGCATGTGGTTACAGACTGGTCATGGGCTAGTATTAATGCATTTATGAAGTCTTGGAACAATTGCGACGTTCTTGAATATTTACATATGTCATACGAATGTATTCAATTTAATAACCCTTTGCCCGAAGAAATTACACCGATTTTTACTTGTTACGCCCATTTCATGAAAATGATTCCTCGGCAAATGACACAAAACCAAATTAAGAAACCTATTAAATCATTATATTTAGAAATTTTTGCTATTCTCGTTCATTGTCAAACTTTTCAACATTTAACTGAGTTATTCAAGCATTTTTTTTATCTGTTATTATTTCCTAAACAAGAACCAGAAGTAGTAAGAGCTATAACTTGTCTGGCAAGTGCGACAAAATTCACAACTAATTTAACTTCTACTAATAAAGAATTTCAAATTGACCTCGTTGACTCCGAAATTGCTCCTAGATATCAATCTAGCCCTTTTTATCAACATCTCTTGCCCGACATTCAAGAAGTCAGAAATAAAAGCAAAAATAATGATCCAAATTTGAATGATAATATTTATTTCAGTCCGAAATTCGCTGATTACGTGATTAAATATTTAGTTCCGTACGTGGTTTTTTGGACAACTGTTTTAAGCTCTACCGGGGAGCATGTAAATAATTCGACAGCCGAAAATCACTTTAAAATTGTCAAAATTGAAAATCAGAAGAATCTCAAACCTGGTAGATTTATTGACCATCTATTCTCGCTAGAAATCAATTTTTAAGAGTATCGATTTACCCCCTTCTCAAGTCTTGTTAAAAAATAAAAAATCGAAAACTAAAATCAACGAACCGGATAATGAGAAGTCTGAAGAAGCCTGGAATCGCGACAAGCAGAAAAGAAAAGCGCCAATTACTTATCAGGCTGGAGCAAAAATTCAACGCTTAGATAATCAAATCGATCATGACTTAGTTTTCTTCCGTAACCGCACTATCAAAAATTGTGACTATTATTATTCCCGAGATTCACCCAGACAATATTTTGTAGCTTACACCAAAAATGTCAATGATATATGATAATAAATTTGTCTACTTATTTGGCGAAGATTACAGCACACTTTACGGAGAAAATTGGCGATCAAATTTTTTAATTGATTATTGTGCTAGCTCGAGTATAATGCAGTCGGATGATCATTATACTCGAGTAGCTTATTCACTATGTGAAATAAATTCGATTATTTTATTGAGTCCAGATAATTTGGAAGATCATTTCATAGAAAATTTAAAAATCGAATGGAAGAATAAATTAGCTGTATTCCTACCATTAAATATTAATAATTTACATTGGATCCTTGTTTATGTTGATTTAGCAAATAAAAAAATTTATAATCTCGATCCTAATATTAACGGTTCAGTCGATACCGAACTTCTATTAAAAAATTTTGTTGGCTTGTACAAACGCGTTTTCCCTGAAAAAAGAATTAAATTAAAAGTTTCGACCGCAGATATCCCGAAACAAAATGACAATTATAATTGCGGTATATATGTAATTCATTACATACATGAAATTTTAAAAGGCCGCATTTATAATATGGATCCTCTAGATCCAATTTTATTAAGATCCTTATTAAAAGAGATATGTCTCATCCATTCTTTACCTGTTGGTGACTTATGTCTTATGTGTAGACAAGGTGAACTCAGAAGTGAAACATCATGGTTTATGTGCGGTACTTGTAACAAATGGTCACATTATAGGTGCTTAAAATACTTAAATAAAACCCCCGAAGAAATCGCAGATGATTATTTTATTTACAATTGTGATCGATGTAGTCTATGGTTAACAAATAAACAAAAATAATTATAGTCTATATGTTTAAGAAATGAACAGACCAAGCTGGGATGTATTGCCAAAAATTTGACATTGTTGATAGTTCTTTTAAATAAATTTCATAATAATTTAACAATAAAGTTCCTTAACAATCTGTTGAAATATAAAAGATTAATTTTGTTAGTTATAGTTAAAAACATTTAACATTATTTAATTAAATTTTATATAATATAATATCTGTTATCGATAAATAAATTATTTATGCCATATAAATTGTAAAAATGTAATTAATGAATTTAATATTGATGTTATAAAACGGTTCATTATTTTATCGAAAAAATCTTTTCATAGACTAGTTTAAACAATACTCATTCGCGCGCCAATCACTTCAAATATATCGATATGTACTTGAGCCGATAAAAGTCGTGTACTATTTTTTACGAGTTTGGACTAATATAATTAACGTCAAAATTCTCATGTTTCATGTATTTTTATTTTCGGGATTAATGATAAAAATAAAAACAAAATTTGACACAATTTAAATGAAATATGTCAAAGAAGCACATGAATATTAGAAAAATATAGAATTATACTTTTAATTTGGCAATTTACCTTGAATATTCATTTTTTTTTTTTTAAATAAAAAAATACTCGTCTAGATAACGAAAAAGTAAAGACGAGTAATTTATTTAATAATAAAAAAAACCAAATTTTCATAAATTACAGAATTTTTATTCTAAAAATATCAAATATCGATTCATTGCAGATTTCAGAGCTTACAAATGAGAAAAAAAAAAAATACTCGTGTAGATTTCGAAAAATTACATAGAAATAAAGTAAATTTTTTACTTTTTTACTAGCTCATAACCTAAAGATAATAAATTAAAAATTTAATTTTTTAATTATAACTCGAATAATATTTTTTTTACAAAAGTAAACAAATCCTTGTTTACACAATAGCATAAAAAACACGAGTAATTTTTTTAATCAAAGAAAAAAAAATTAGTTGCAAAGTTGCAAAACTTTTATTTTTAAAATTGTCATCTGTCGGCTAACTTCAGGGTCATGCATTGTGACTGCTTTGAAAAATAACTATATAAGTAAATATAACTACTAAAAGAATTGGGTTATGTAATACCAGAAAAGTAAATACGACCCTTGGCACGTGGTCCTCTAGGGGACGATAGCCAAAAGAAAAAAAAAATAGTAGTGAGTGAACAGCATGACATAAATTGTATTATGTATTGACTGACGGGCCTCTGATTGGAAACGGTTTTAATTTTAACTTTTATTTGTGTGATATAATACATAAGTACAAGATAATTAGATTCTTAGAAATATGTTTTTTGTCAATAAAAAAAATTTATAACGGTAATGGTTTATCATATTCTTCATTGTTTACAATTGAGATATGAGTCCCAACCTTTAACCTTCAATTAGTACTTATTTAGTATTATAGAAATTATTGAGTTTAAATAATTAAAAAAAATGAGTGTTGTCAGAACGTTAAGATTAATTGCTCTCCAAGCTAGTTCTGTTAGGCAAATATTGTTTTCTCCAAAGTATTTGTTGTATACAAATATTGGTATTTCTGTTTCATTATCTGCTGTGGGAGATACTTTAGAGCAACACTACGAAATTTTAAAGGTAAAGTATAAATATATTAATCCAATAGTACAATAGGTCATTACAAAAAACCATAATTCGTTGATAATGTTTTGTTCTGTATTTTAGGGTGAATGGAATGAGTGGTGTCCAAAAAGAACTACGAACATGGCTATATCAGGAATGTCAATTGGAATTTTTTGTCATTATTGGTATCAAGTATTAGACGCGAGACTCCCCGGAAAAACTATTGGAACTGTGTTAAAAAAAGTTATTGTTGACCAAATTATTTGTTCACCATTCTATATAGGAATATTTTTTATTACACTTGCTTTATTAGAACGAAAAAATTGGTCTGAATTGAAAACTGAAGTTAAAGATAAAGCTCACAAGTTATACTTAGCTGAATGGATTGTTTGGCCGCCTGCTCAAATTATCAACTTCTATTTTTTACCTACCAGATTTCGAATTCTTTATGATAATACAATTTCTTTAGGTTATGATGTATATACTAGCAAGGTTAAACACAATCATTAACCCTGAATAAAAAAAAGTATTGAGACAAAGAAAAAAATATTGAAAAGTATTGGATTGACTAAAAAACCAATTCTTTTCAATACTTTTTTCTTTGTCTCAATACTTTTTTTTAATCGGGGAAAAAACATATGCTGGTCGTTCTAATGGATCAGATGAATGTATATTAAATTGTAAACTATATTCAAAAGTTTTGAATAAGACAATTTCTTCTGCAAACAGAAAAAATAAGGGTTTACAAATATAGATGATTAATCAATGGCCTGTAAATATTTATAAATACATCCCCGCCTTATCAATCGGTCTGTCTAGATTATTTAACGTGCTATTAAAGATAACGTTTCAGTTCAACTATAAAGTGCCTACAGTTTATAAAATATATAAAAAGATTATTAACTTGAATTTTTTTATCATTTATCAGTACAGTATTTTACTGAACTCCATATCTTTAGAAAACCTTTTCATTCTAAATTTTCATCCAAGCAACACAGATAAATTAGTGACGATAACTTTTAATTTATAATACAACACTTAACCTAATGTCTTTTTTACTTAATTTTATATTTCGGACATTATTATATAATTTTTGCTGTTTATTTACAATTATAAAAACTTTAAAACAGTGATATCACAATATACCATCATGTGTTTATGTATGTTAACGTATTATTGTAAATAATAAATTTTGTAAATTAATTGAGTATTTTTAAATTATTCAAGTTAGTTTTCCAAGATAAAAATGAGAAAAACAGTGAAATTTTTAAAAAATCAGGCTGAAAATTATGTTGTAAATCACATAAATGATGATATTAAAATCAGTGGATTCTTTTTTGGCTTTATACACCATTTAAATTAATACTAAAGTAATATTTTGAAAACTTGTGTAACGTTCTCAAATTTTGGGTATTTAATTTAAAAATTATTTAAGTCCAAGTTTTAACCTCGTTAGGCAGTCGATAGACTCCAGGTGGGTCGCGTCACTGGTTTATCGGCGAAGTACTTTGGAAAATTTAAATTTACTAGAAAATCGAACGCGCTTTGCGCGCTTCTGTCAAAATGTTTATTATAGACAATTTAATTAATCAATATTTTTACAAATTTTACTTATTAATATTTAACCGCTGCCATGGTAACCGTTGCTATGATAAACATTGCCAAAAAAGGTCACTATAGCAACAAAAAGCGACAACAATGAAAACGTCACATCAACTTTATAATAAAAGTTATGATTATTTTCATGGAGAAAATTCGCTATAGCAACGGTTACCATAGCAACGGTGATTATGGCAACGGTTACCATAGCAACGAAAAGCGACAACAATGAAAACGTCACATCAACTTTTTACTAAAGGATAAGTTTTTGGTATACTTTCAATTTACCTGCCCTCATGTAGGTGATGGATAGAATGTCTGAATGCTGGCTAGCGCTCTAGACGATTTCACCAGGGTGAGAACAGCTGATAAGCGTTCACACCCTGGGGATAATAATTAGGGTATTTATGAGAAAGGATACCAGAACGCTGGCTAGCACTCAAGGTAAAGGAAGCAGGGTTAAGAACGCTGATGAGCGCTCCTAACCCTGGGTTAAGGTTTTAATAAATTTTCATATTAATTGATTGACAATTAATAAGAATTACTAAGTCCTCGGACTGAATGCTTCAGATGAAGTCTGAAGACAGAATGCATGAATAATAATTTTTACAATGAGTTTTTATAATGATTTTTAGCAACGTTGCATCTCAGGTTACCCTATGTGAACATCAACGTAGTCCAAATCCCACAACTTAGACTGTTTAGTCTACTGGGCTGCGTTGACATTCCAGAAATCTCTTATCTCAAGGTATTTCCGTTACGAAATACCTCGGATAATAATTTATTAATTAAAATAATAACTAATAAAATTTTTAAATATATTTAAAATTTGCGAGAATGTAACACTTGCATTCATAGTTTTTTGTAATTTCTAGATTTTAGAATTTTTGTAAAATTAGCTTATAATCATTTACTTGTTCACAAAACTTAGATGCGATTCGTAATTGATAATCTATAATTTATGGTTTATGCTTAGACGAAGTTGTTGAGTGGTCCTCACCCCACTATCGAGTGAGTGTGTTAAAGACGGTTTAACCATAATAAAACATCTCATGATTCACTAAGGGCATTTTTTCGATTAGCGCATGCAGAATTTTAAAAATAGTTTTCTAAAACTTCTCAGGTATCATTCAAAAAATGATCAGAATAGCTTCGAAAGATAAAAAAAATGTTCAATTTTAGTAGGTAGCGGGAAGCTAAAAATTTAAATATAAAAAATATGTCAAATTTAACGCGTTTGATGTTTAGGAAGAGCTATTTCACAAAATAACCTCGTTTAATTTTACACTGGGTGTCATCTTTATGAAATAAGTAATGTTTTATAAGAAAACTTTTCATAAATCTAATTAGGCCAATGTAGTAGTTCTAACAATCGAAAGGGAAAATGATAAAAATTATTTTATATCTATTTAGAACCCATTAAATCTCCGTAAATCTAAATAACAATTGTTTGTCGACCCATAGTTAATCACTTATGATAAGACAGAGCTCAATAAAAATAAAAATATCATTATTTAAGGATATTAATTGTGATCACTAGCTTTGAAATAATAAAAAATATGATCATTTATTCGTATATTTCAGTATATGACTATTTGATAATGTAATTTATATCATATACAATCACGACAAAATGCTAAAGTCCGTTTTTAAGCATTTATACGTAGATAAGTAAATAAAAGACTTTGATTTCTGCTATAGCAGATAACATCAACAAAAATAATCGAACGAAGGCGAAGTTGCTTTATTCATATTATAAAATTATTACAGATTATTGTATAAAGTCATAAAGTTATTCCAGTCAGAGAGTTGTCCTCTTTAATACTCTACTTTAATATGTGATTTCCTTAACCCCACTTTAAAATTTAAGGTCATTGAAGTTTACTCTCTTGTTGAATCAACTTTACTTGTTCATCATAACTTTTAATTATAAATTAACTTGTTGCTAGTTGCTCAGTCATCGCTTATACATAAATCAGTAAGAACAATTCATTTTTTAATTTAAATAGAAAAATATTGAGGTATACTTATAAATAATAATAAATAAAATTCCGTAAGTGACTAAATATTTTTAAGCATACAGTATTTATAGGATCTAAATTTAAAAAATTTTATAAGTATCGTACTGTCATTGGTATTTTTTAATTAAAGTAGTTTGTTAGTACTTCTCCAAGTGTAAAATTTATATTTTATGTTTGAAGTTTTTCATTATTCATTTAATCTACATTTATATAGTGATTATATTTAGAAAAAAATTCATTCATAGCTCCCTGATTAAAAAAAAGTATTGAAAAAGTATGTAATTCAATACTTTTTCAATACTTTTCACACACTGTATATCTATATATACATACAATATAGATATACAGTTGCATGGTTCAATACTTTTTTTAAATCAGGGCTTTTAAATATTTCAGCTGAAACACTGAACCTAAATTTTTACTTTAACTTTGTATTCATCTTTACAAATTTTTAAAAGAAACTCATTGATAAATATAATATTAACTAAAAATGGTTTTCACCTTTCTAGTTTAATTGACGTGCCCTTGTGTTTTTATAAAACTATAATAGACATATTTAAGGATTATCATTCTGTAACTCTTTGTAAGTGTAATTTTTTTTTATTTATCTTTTATTTATTTATTATTTTTTTAAGCATTAATAGTTTTAATTATTTTTCATTAAATTTTATTGAAATATAATGATTATAGGATAATTTTAAAATTAATAAATACCCGGTCATTCTAAACTAAGTATAAAAAAGCAAATAATAATTAATAAAAACAAGAAAACTTAAAAATACGTATGTGCTATGCTCAAAATAATTTAAGTTGTTATGACGTATCACAAAATAGTGGAATATGAGCTAACTGTAAAAGAATCCTGGGTAAAAAACATTATACATGAAAAATGGCCTTATATATATAATTATAGATAAATATTTCGATAAAAGTAAAAAAAAAAATTCAGACATTCTAGAAACAAACCGTGGTCCTCGCTTTTTCAAGATCGATTCGCTATACCTGTTGACTTGAGCTAGATATTCTAATCTTTATATGAACTTCAAGTAATGCAAATTTTATGTATACAAGATTAATTACTATATTATTATATTCTATCAATTATTAATTATAAATTATCAAATACAAAGTTATGGCTCTATAATATTATGTGTGAAATATAAACTGAGTAAACTTAACAATATATACATACTAAAGGAATATTCTAAAGATAAAATTAATTTACATTTACACAAAAGAAAAAGAATATTAAGATATTCTTAATGTAAGCATTAAGAAAATTTTAAGGAAGACCAAAGTTATCTTAGTACAAGATGAAATTTTCTTGGCACACACACACAACACACACGCGCGCGCGCGGACACACACACATACATATATCGAGTTCTTCACAACATATCGAGTTCTTTATCAAAGCTCCTATCACTTTAGCATTGCAGGAAAAATTCGAAAAGGAAAGATGGAATGCCAGTAAGCTCGACCTAGAAACCCTGAGAGTATCCATCTCGAAGAGTTGGGAAACTTAAACTCCGCCCGTTTCTCAAAACTAGCAGCGAAACGGAAAAGTTAGTGCAGCAAACGATGAAGGCCATCACCACTTCCTGCGATGGTTTAATAGGCCCGCATAGCCCGAGGCACGCATAGGCCGGTATATTAGTGGACACTGGAAATCGCAGCTCTCCCACTGAAAAAACGTTTTCTACGCTTCAGGATACAGTATCGCTACTGTCACCATACGCACGTTACGAAACACTGGATCGCTATGGTCACTATCCGTTTTGCTAATTTAGCGATCTATTGAATACACCTAGCGGTGACGGAGAAACTGACTTTGCATAATTTATTATTGATGTTTCAAATAATGATTTATATGATCGAAGTCAAGTTTTAAATATTCTATCCAGTAATAATAATTACGACAATAATCACCGCATGCACTTAATAATTGTCGATAAACAATGACAAATGAGGTTAGGAACTTACGCCGAAGAACTGGCGCTTCGAGGTTAGATCGCGACCGTCAGGATCCGTTCCCTGATTATAGCGATATGCCGTTCACGATATAACGGATAGTGAAGCGTAGAAAACTTTTTTTTCAGTTCCGGAAAAAGTGTTTGCAACTTAAGCGAGCAACTAGGGCCGCAAGCGCACTTCAGAGCAACCCACATGCTTTAACGAGTATAAAGAGGTCAGAAAAGAACTAAACCGTACTATCAAGAAAAGCAAAGCGATACTGTGGAAGGAACTCTGTAATGACCCTAACCAAGATGTCTGGGGAAAAGCCTATAAAAGCCTCAGCTTCATAAAAGCCTATCAGATTGTCTTAAAAAAACTGGGAAAAGCTGCACCCGAGGCACCTAAATATTCAGACGAAATAAACATCACTGTAGCGGAACTGTTCCCCAAGCGCCAGCCACGAGAGAAACGGCGTTATATCAGTAACGGAGCCACACCTTTCTCGTTTGAAGAGCTGAAAGATGTAGTCAGGTCCTTAGAACCAGGGAAGGCACCAGGTCCTGACGTCATTCCTACGTCAGTGATTAAGATTATAGTCCAGGTATTTCCGGACCTGTTGTTAAACACATACAGTGCATGCCTTGCAACTGGCACGTTTCTTACGAGCTGGAAGCGACAGATACTGGTTTTATTGGATAAAGGAAAAGGAGCCCCTTTTATACCGCCGTCGTGGCAGGAACGATGGACAAGAGGTGACACAGGCAGATAGACGGCACGCCTGATACGGAACATCAGGGTCTGGCTCACTCGAAATCACGGTGAAACGGACTTTTTCCTCTTTTTGTCGGTTATATGTGTTGGATATCTTCACGTAATAGGATATATAGGACATAGATATAACCAACAAATAACAGACTCAACCGAAGAAATTCTAGATACCAGGCTCTCCCCCGCGAACCTGGTGACTAACATGCTAAAACATGAAAATAACTGGTCAGCTGTCACAGCCTCTGCGCAACGCCGTTTGAAAGAAAATACCGCCGAAAGGGACCAGTAATCAGGAGCAGGCGTCGTGAGATGAAACACGGACTGGATTGAAGTAATGCTAATTGCTAACGCGGTTCCGATTCAGTCTTCCCCGCACCTTTGTTCGGGCAACTAGGAGAGGGGGGGGGGGTTCAAAGAGTGGAAATCCCACACTACCGATAATATCATATGTCGATGCCTTTAAAAGATTCCCCCCCCCCTCCTCCTCGTTAAAAACACACACATATCCTCGTTAAAATAGTCAGAACTGCTTCCCAGTACCTTAAAACGTGGAGATCTGATGAAAAATTGATTTTCGAAAACCAGGCTGAAATCAATAACTTCTCGATTTTTTTTAAATCATCGATTTTTATAGCGGAAAGTTAAGAATTGTAAGTTCTGTAAAACTAAAGTGAGTAAAATGCGCATAATGCCCGTGCCGAAGGGTCGAATTATTCTAATTCAATCTTCGTCTATTAAATATCATTTTTGTAGAATAGAGGAATAGAAGTTACACATAGTAAATATTTTATTTATGACCATTACACAATTTTATTAAATATATGACGAACAATTTATTGATTGAATATTTTGTATTTTTGTTTATTTCATCTTATAACTATAAAAAATATCCATACGGTATTTATCATATTTTGGATCTTTTGCAGTTACAAATCTCCAATATAAATTTTCTGCAATCATTGTGATAAAGCTTAGAAAATATCCTATGATTAGTGCCACAAATATACCGTAAAGTTTACGAATATCTATTAAAGCTTTCGGTCCATTGGATTCAGATTTAATTTCAATTATTTGTGACCACTCCATTACATCACTGAGCCATTTATTTACTAACCCAGATTCAACTATTCTGTTAATTATGCGATCGACTTGTGGTTTGAGGGGAGAATTTTTTATCATTCCAATGGATATTGGCATATGAATGATACACTCTTCCATAATGTGTAAATCTCTATCTGCAATTAAGTTTTTATTGTTTTTGAGAGCTTCATTTTTTTGCATAGATTCTAAAAGTTGTCGTTTTGCTCTTGCTTCTTTCAAAACATAAATATTGTCGTAGTATGCAAATGCTCCTTTTGCTACTCTTGAAATTGCTTCATCTTCATCATTTACTAATTCAAAGTTTTTTCCAATTTTATTTAACAATGCATCTGATTCAGAACTAAATACGTCTTTATAATTTTCATCCCATCCTCCAACAGGTAATGAACTTTTTGCCAAATCTGCTATTGTGTTTATAGTGATTCTATCAAAATAATATCCAGTGAGTGAAAAAAATTTCTTTTTATCATTATCAAGAAAAATAAAAAAAAAACTATTACCTGGCGATAGGGTTTGCAAGAGTAGCAGTTAAGCTAGCTCTATAAGTAACAGTTATCAGAATTGTGTAAAGCCACCACCAACCAATAAATACTCTAAGGGCCCAAACTTCAGGAAGTCGTGGCAAGGAAACTTGTAGAAGCATGCTATATGTATAGAGTAAACAATTTTGCATTCCAGTGAATGGCGATAAACCATATATTTTTTTGGTATATATTTCATTTATTTCTTGTACTTTAATCATCGATATTATCTTTAAACTCGAAGGTTCGTTGCTCTTTTCATGTGATAAAATTTGTTTCTGATAAAATATAGTGAAACCTCGAAAAATAGAAGCAACTAATAAAAGTATGAAAATGATAGTCGTCCAAGTATATAACCTAAAAAATAGTATTTATATCAATTTCAAGAGAGACTAGCCTAAATCATGCATATATTTTGTTAGCATTTGAGTAGTCTGCTTTTTTATTTAACCCTAAATCTAGTTTCAGAAACTCGTGAAAGCTTTGAATTAAAGGCTTTTCTGTAAGACTTGCAAAAGTATTTAATACTCTATAACTGAAGAAATATAAAGATTAGGGCTATACATTTAAACCGGTTAAGCCGGTTAAAAAAGTTAACCAGGTTAACTAATTAGCTAACCATCAGCTTAGCCGGTTAACTTAAATTAGCTGAGCTAATTAGCTAATTTTTTAACTGGTTAACTTAAATTAGCTAAGCTAATAGGCTAATCGGCTAATTTTTTAACCGGCTAAAAAGTTAAATTAATTTTCAAAATAGATCTATGTGTGGGGCATTCCATGCCAAATCGACCACTTTTGACCCCGACCCTTTTCGATTTTTCTAAAATTTTTGTAGCTTTCTCTACCCTATTGAAAGAAAATTTCAAAATTCTTCAAATTTTTTTTGCTCAACCAAAAAAAAAGTTACAAGTTATTGAAAAAAAGCTTGTTTTAGTTAAATAACCATAAATTTGTTGAAAATTAACTTATTGGGATATTTTTTTTTTAATTTTTGTTTTTAAATGAACTTTAAAAAAAAATGAAAATAATAATTCCGATTCATATTCAACGTTTTTTTTTTTTTAAATTTTGAAAAAAAACGAAAATTCCGGGATAATAGTCATTTTTGATTTTCGATTATTATTTTTTATAAAAAACTTCAGTATTTTCTGCGAATTTCCTGAAATTCTCAGAGTGGCATTTTTTTTCTTTCTATTTTTTTTTTTCATTATAAATGGAAAAAAATTTTTTTTTAAATAATTTTTTTTTTTTTTTTTTATTAAATTTTCTGCAAAAAACGAAACCCCCTATCCGCTTGCTCGGCAATCAGTAGTTCCAGAGATATCGGCAGTTGAGTGAAAAAAGATCCTTTTACATTCAAAATTCGATATCTCGAAGACAAATGGTCGTATCTGGGTCCCGTAAAAAGCAAATTGAAGCTGAATAAACAGGCTATACGGCCTATGCATTGGTCTAGCTCGAAAAATTTTTTCCATGCCCGTAGAGCGGAAAAAAAATGTAAAAAATTTGGAAAATTTTTTCTTTGTGCTTTATCCAAGGATTGCATGGCTACCAGTGCTCCGAAAAATTTTTAACCAAAAAATTTGAAAACTAGAGTCTTCAAGCTTCAAAAGCTTTGTTTTTTTATTTCCTGTACGACCATTTTTCACTGAAATACAGCCTGTTGAAAATCGCTAAAAAATTTCGAAATTTTTTTTGTTCCCTTAATTTTTGCGAGAAGTGTATAATAATATATAATTGGATGTAGTATTTTTTAATAATTATATATAATCATATATAATTATATATAATAATATATAGTTAGATGCAGCATTTTTTAATAATTATATATTATCATATACAATTACCTATAATTATATATAATTGCATGTAATTATATATGATATTATATAATAATATATAATTAGATGCAGCATTTTTTAATAATCATATATAATTATATACAATTACATATAATTATATATAATTGCATATAATTATATATGATTATTAGACCGGTTCAAAAAAATCGACTATTTTTTTTTTTCAAAATTCGCAGTGAAATATCTTCCTAGTCATAAAAAAAGAAGCCTGTGAAAACGGGAGCTCTTAATATCAATTTTGAAAGTTCTCTCATCGTAAATTTCTATTTTACATTTAAATAACATGGAAAAAAAAATTTTTTAACTTTAGAATTTTTCCAACTAATTTTGGAATTAACATTTCGGGGTGATAGATACATATTTTTGAAGGAAATTGAATGCTCTAAATAAATTGTCCCTTGTTTTTTCTCTAAGTCTTCTCCTTTAAAAGTTATTCGAGTTTAAAGTTCAACATGTAATTAATTAAACCTTTTTTCCTTAATTTTTCTTAAATATTTTATAACTATTATTGAAAAAAAAAATTTGTCTTAAAATATTAATTTATCAGGTTTAACGTCGTTGGCAGAGTCGGTATTTATTGTTCTACTATGAGGAATAAATGACTTTTCAATTTAAAAAATTTGAAATTAATTCTCTTTTATAAGTTTAAAAAAATTTGAATTGTATGTACAAAATTTTTCGGAAAAACGATCAACTGTGGTTTGTAGGAAATGTAGTGCACTTTTTTTATCGGTGAAATAGAGATGTGTCGCATTATCAACTTCCTTTCTTGTACTCTTGCTTAATTATTGTTCTGGTTCCTGGCTGTTTGTTATAATTATGATTTTGATGTATAAAAATTTAAAGATATTTCACTTTTTAAAAATTGTATTATTTTATTATCAATAATGGAAAAAAATGTATACTTAATTGGTGAAATGAATAAAAATTTTATTGGACGTAAACTGCCCACAAATGGAGAGGTTATGTCTGTATTTTTGTATGAGCATAAAGTGAATAAATTGACTTTAAAAACAAGTGCTTGTGTTACTATAAAAAAAGTTGAAGAAAAATGGTTAACTAATTAGTTAACCTGGTTAACTTTTTTAACCGGCTTAACCGGTTTAAATGTATAGCCCTAATAAAGATATATTTCAAATGAATTGCTACATATATATACTACCAAAAATAATGCGTACGGTGAATGCAGAAGGCTTGCGCAAAAAATTTTTTGATACAGACGTATAGTTTGCATGCAAGATATTTGAAGATATATTTTTGTTATATAATTGTTACTGTTTTTTACAACATTTTAGATTAGGACGAAGCAGCTCAATTCTGTTCAGCTTTAAATAAAACTAGTAAAACAGAAACAGTTATAAGTAAATATATCGTGCGAATTTATTTTTTGGTGGTTTATAGTGTTTATAGTGTTACATTTACATAAAAAGGATGACACGCAAAATCGTGAAGCGTTCCACATTTTTAACAAATATAAATAATGCTGTGAAGCGGGAAAGAATAGGAGTTACGGATAATTATTACGTGAAGCGTTCCAACATTCACGTAACAGGATAATTGGTAGGAAAGGATTGAGAAAGGATTGTGGAGAGGATCATCTTAATGTGAGTGTATAGAATATGCGAGAAAAAATTCATACGTAAACGGATTAATTAACAGTTTCCAAGAATTATCTGTGAATGATTCTGGTGTAAGAAAAGTAAGACATTCAGTATTATACGGAGAAGATAAATCAAGAATTTCGTAATGGCGAAGAGTATAATGAAGATCTCCTAAAAAAAAAGTTGCTTTTGCTTCAACTGCTTCTCCAAAAAGTCCGTCATAACTTCCATTGTTGTTCGAAGTCCCCCATTTTGTAATTTCTATATTTTCCGGACGGAAAAAAATTGGTTTGAAGTTCATTTTATTAGCAATAATTTTCATAATCTACAATGAGAAGAATTTATTTTACAAAATCATTATAAACTATTTACAGAAATTGGATTCTACAAATATTTAAAAATTTTTTCGTATTATACTCGATACGGTAAAACTTTATAAAAAATGCCAGTACGACCTTTTAAAAATGAAACTTTAAAGTTCGAAACTTCTCGCTAGTGAGATTGGACAATATTCATATTTTTGCTGCTTCATTCATCGTCATGTTAAGTTAAATAAAAATTGGTAGCGAGTGCATATTTTTAGATGAAAATATACAAGAAAACTCACACTGATAACAAAAATTAACTCGATTCAAGAGAAAAAAATTTGAATCAAGAAAATTATTTTGGAGAATTTCACTGTTTCGAATGGAGCAGAAAAGTTCTTTATACTACGAAATTTTTCTTGATTTATCAAGACATAATGATGCTTGCTAATGTATTCAAATAATAAGATAAAATTAAAGATAATATCAACATGGATCGATAATAAAATATTTACCTCAAATTCTATTCCTACAGATTTATTATTATGTTTCTCATAGTTTTTATAAAATATCCTTGAATTTGTTGTAACAGCCGGAATATGCTCAAAAATAGCGACTCTTAATTTTTTTTTTGATAAATCTAGTACTTTATTTGCAAAATGATTCTTTCCGTAACGAAATCGTCCTTTATACCACGTGTCAACGTAATAAGTTCTAAGAAAGTATTGACCAGGAATAGGATATTGTATTGTTTCGAGATTAAACCAGTCATAATTTATATTTTTACCAGATTGTGATCTTATCAAGCTATGTCGCCTGATAAAAATAACATTGATTATCCTGTTCCACAAGTATTTCATATTAGAGTAGAAAAGTCTTGAATCGTGGATCATTAAAAAAAATCCTTGAATATTTAACAATCGTTCTCTGCAATGTTTTTAATTTTTATCAAAATTTACTTAAAAATAAATGATAAAGAAGCAAAAACCTTTCTGCGTATTGTAAGAGATCCATCGTTTGTAATCCATTAGTAATTAAAATAACATAACCATTACAACCAGAATTTTTGCTGTTTCTTAAAATGTCTTGAATAGTCAACTGAGGCGGAGAAAATTCTTCATTTTCACGTACAAAGACCTGCATTGATTAATATGTTATGAAAACATTCGTCACCAATAATCATCAAGTTTCGTGTTTACACTGTAATATGTTAATGTTAAATTTCCATTTTCGTTGCGATGAATCAAATTTTGGTAATAAGAATCGAACATATAAACCATACATTTGCTTTTTACAGATATTTCTTTGATCACGAGATTAATTACATCTCTCAATGGCTCTTTTGTTTGTTCGTGCCATTTTTGAAGTTTTAAACTGATTTAATAAGTAAAATATTTATTAAATATAGATTAATAAAAATAGTATTTTATTGACTGCTTACCAATTATTAGCAGTAATCAACTGAATAATTATTAAAAGACTCAACATTATTCTGTAAACACACTTAAATTTCTCAAAAATCGCACTTGTGAACCTTTTTTACTCGAAGGAAACTAAGTAAATACTTCTGATGAAATTAAGTTTAGGATAGCAACTGTGTTTTTCATTATTCAATACCAATTAAATAACACGATTCATGAACTCGATTTAGGAACTTTCATTACGCTGCATAGAGAACGATTCATTAAAATAGTATGAGTAACGAAAGTTTCTCGAACTCCAAAGCTAAAATAATAATTAACTTTTGATAAACTTACATGTTATCTATTATTTACTGTGAAGTTTTTTTTTTAATTAATTAGTTTTTTTTTTTTTTTTTTTTTTTTTTTAATTTCAGGGAACAAATATGAAGTTACTCAAAATCAGAGAATTAATCCGTGATATACCAACAGGTGGACCCTTAGAAGTATTCAGAAAACGTGCAAGTTTTGATTGGAAATCGCTAAAATTTAATATTTTCGGGGTTGACTCTCTTGAGTATCATGTACGATTATTATTTTATTTTTTTTTATATTTAATTTATTTGGTTTTTATAAAACTTCTTTAATTTGTTTATATTTAGGAAAAAGTTTATAGGTTTATTGAGAGTTCACCCGATTTCCAGAGGCCATCAAAAACTCTCACTTTGGACGAATATCGACGAAGATGTTTTAATCAGATAAAAACTCTTTTCAAAAATGATCTTATTGTAAGATAATAGAAAAAAAATGTATGAAACAAAGTCTTCTTTTTATATTAGTTGCATTGAAACTTAAGGTTTCAATGTATATTTTAGCCAGTCACAATTTTAAATCGAACAGTTCAAAATTGTTTCTGTTCATTTTGAGCTTCACAATAACTTATAATTAAGACGACGTTTGAAAAAGTACTATCAGTCAAATTTTCTCGTTTAAGTTGGCTCCAGACATTGAAACTTTGAATTTTAATACAAATGATATGAAAAATCTGGTGCGTTTCACGGAATGAAATACGATTTCAAACTAAAGCGAAAAAAGTCTATCCTTTTCTTAACAGTCAACATTCATTCTAATTTGAAATCGTTTCCTTTCATTTCTTACTATACGATATATCATTGCTTTTAGGAATCAAATGGTTTGTCTCTGAATGCTTACATCGATTATGATTCTTCATTACCGGTAATTATAGGTATTTTATATGCTATGGTACCAGGAGTAGTTTTCTCCCTGGGTACTGAACGTCACATAGATTATGTTAGCAAGTTTCATAGCGGGGAAGTAAGTAAAACAAATGAGTATTGATGAAAAAAATATTTAAATTTTTATATCAATTATTGAATTGTTTTTATTAAAATTAATATATTTAGTATAGAGGATGCTTTGCACTTACTGAAGTTTCTCATGGGACTAATGCAAAAGGCATGAGAACGACTGCAACCTATGATATAGCTTCACAAAGTTTTATTTTGAATTCGCCAGATTTTGAAGCCGCTAAATTTTGGATAGGGGGTTTAGGTAAACTATTGAAATCTTATTTGATTATCATTAAATCATTATAATTAATTTATGAAATTTTTAAGACCTAGTTGATAATATTTAGTTGAAGTTTATTATTATAATTAATATACTTATTAAAAAAATTGTCCTTTAGGTAAACAAGCGACGCACGCAATAGTTTTTGCTCAATTAATAACTCCAGATGAAATTTGTCACGGTCTCAATATCTTCATTGTACCTATTCGAGATCCAAATACAATGCTGCCGATGCCGGGAATAACAATAGGTGATTTAGGTGAAAAGGTTGGACTTAATGGTGTTGATAATGGTTTCATAATGTTTCACAATTTCAAAGTGCCTAGAGAAAATTTGTTGAATAAGATGTGTGATGTCACAACAAATGGACATTTTATATCAGCGATTAAAGATCGAAGTAAAAGATTTGGTAAAATTTATTATACTTGATTATTAATTTGTAGTTAATTACATTTAAACTTAAAGAACATTGTAATAGGTGCATCACTCGGAACTCTTTCTCTTGGTCGAGCTAACATTACCAATATTTGTTTTAAATACTGTTCATTGGCAATAGTTATTGCAGTTCGATATTGTGCTGTTCGCAAGCAATTTGGGCCTTCAGCAACTGAAGAATGGCCAGTTTTACATTATCAAGCATTGGTAATAAAACTTATAACTACTATAATTATTATAATAAATATGACATAATAATACAATATCTTTCTTGTTAATTAATTCAATTTAGAAATTACAATTAAATGGTCATATTTTTTGTTATCTATTGATGATGCACATCTGAGACTAAATACATTGTTATTGTTAATAATACTAACTTTTATTTACAGTATGGAAGACTGATGCCACACTTAGCAGCTACTTATGCTATTCTTATTTTTTCAACAACTTTTCTGAAGCAAGTTCAAATTTTTCAAGCACATTTATTAAATCCTGAAACAAAAGATGAAGCAGCTGCTGAAGGTTTGGAAATCCATGCTCTTTCTTCAGCTACAAAGCCTCTTTGCTCTTGGACAGTAAGAGATATTATTCAAGATTGTCGAGAAGTTTGTGGTGGTATGGGATATCTTAAAGGTATTTTAAGATTTTAAATTTTTGGGGTCTATTTAAGTTTTTTATAACAGTAATTATTATTAGATAGGAGTGTTTAAATGACCTTTTTTTTCGCTGACACTTAAATATTGTTCTAAACATTTTCTCATTTAAAAAGCGTGCATTTTAAGCTATCTTTTTTTAACTCCTATAATTTTGTGAAGTTTTAAGTTATGATTTTAATGAAAACAACCGTTTGTAGTACATTTAACGCTTTTAAAAGAGCATTCAACAATTTTACTCTAATTCCTTTCTTAATAATTGTATCAGTTCAAAGTTATTTTTTCGTATATTTTTGATGATATTAAGAGAATGACTCATCTTACCAAAAAATGCAAATCGGAAATTTTTCGGGAATTTAATTTCCGTATTAACGTTCATACCGCTGAAATGCGTGGTTATGAAGATATTTTCAAATTCTGGAATTGTCCGATTTGAGAGAAAATTTCTCGTTTATATTAATCGTATTTTCTTAGTTAATTAAATTAAAAACCATTTTTGCGCATGTTGAAAATTATTATAATTTTAGTTGCTCGCCTAGGAGATTTAAGAGCAGATCATGATGCAAATTGTACATATGAAGGTGAAAATAACGTGTTAGTTCAACAAGCAAGCAATTGGCTCCTAAATTTCACTTCCAACTTCAGTAATGGTAAACCTATACCTTCGCCTTTGAAGTCTATTGATTTTTTGGCTCAGGGTAAGAAAATTCTTCAAACAAAATTTACATGTATGAATATGGAGGAGACTTTAGAACCTGAAAGTAAGTTTAATGAATTATATTTTATGTTGAATTAGATTTTTTATCAACGTAGATGAATTTTTATAAAATAATTATTAAGATACGAATTTTTTTCGTTAGATTTACAAAAAGCTTTCCAATGGCTACTTTGTTACTATTTTGAAAAAACTTATCGGCGTGTTGAAATTTTAAAAAGTGAAGGAAATGATCCATTTACTATAAGAAATGATTCGCAAACATTCTATGCTAAATCATTATCCCTTATTTATGGCGAGGTAAGATTTTTTTATTTCTTTTTTTTTCTTAAATCTCTTCGCTTTCAAATTTTTTAGTATTCAGTAATAAAATACGATAAAATCATTTTTCTAAAAACTTATGAGTCCTGTGTATACATTTAGTAGATTTATCTAAATGTAAAAGATTAAATCAAATTAGATATAATGAGATTTTAACTTCCTTTCTATAGCTGTCATATTTTTTAAGGAAAGAATAAGGTAAAAGATTGTAAAGAAATAGCGTAAAAAAATTTCTGAATTTGACTGAAATCAGTTGCTTCCCATTTCTTTTTAACTAAAAATTTCTTTAGTGTAAAAATTACTCGGTAATTAACTTACTCTCAATTTATAGCATGCCATCTTCAAAAGTTTTATAGATAAAATAGAAGACCCATGTTTGAGTAATGAAGAAAAAATAGTTTTGAAAAAAATGTGTTCTTTATATGGCTCTTCTTGTCTTGAACGTTGGCTAGGGGACTTGTATAGTGGGAAGTTCGCTGATAGTACATCAAAAATAGACCAGTTTCTACGTGAAGGGATCATTAAACTTTCTAAAGAACTTGTTAATGAAGCTGTATCACTTGTTGATATTCTTTCGCCTCCAGACTTTATATTGAATTCTCCTTTAGGAATGTCAGATGGAGAGGTATAATATCTTTAATTCATAGGTTTTCAATTAATTCTTCAGTTAATTTGAATTTGTATTTTTTTAAGGTTTATAAACATCTTGAAAAATCATTACGTCAAAATAAAGAAAATTTCGATCGTCCTTCATGGTGGAAAGAAATGGTAGCAAAGCTTTAATCTAAAACTAAAGTTGGAAATGCTTAGAGGATGAAAAATTTTCATTATGAAGCGAGAAATATTGATTTTACAACAAGTAACATTTTCATCTGAAGAACGATAGATTGTTAATTTTGTTTTATTTCAAAATTAATCTGATTATTTATTTATAATCTTGTTCTTCAAACAAAACTATTAGTATGGAACATTATCATAAGATGATAAATACTTAAAAAAATAATTTTATAACCATGAATTCAGTGCAATAAAGATGATAATATCATCTTAAAAAAATGTACAAATGATTTCTGATAATTGTTATAAAATATTAATATTGATTCAATTGTTATAAAATTTTACATAAATCTTATATAATTCAGGTGTTCAGAGAAAATATGTCGTGTTAGAATATATTTTTATACGTATACAAATTTGATAACAAATAAATGGTTTTTTTTATTCTCGTTGTAATTTTTTCCCATATTTCTTCATTTTTAACTAAGAACTATTAGTAAAAACTAGCTTTTATTTCGACAACTCCTTTGTTAAATATATTAATTGAGACCTGAAGTTGAAATATTGGAACGAAATTGTGATGATGTTAGTTAACGATGACAATCTTGTTAATGCTTGCAAGACAAAGAAATACTCTTAATTCAAGAAGTCTAAAGATAATTATGTCAATGTTTTAGTTTATGAAAAAGATATTTAATAAAATTACAGAAGCTTATGAGAGCAAAAAGAAAACTGTTAAAAAAAGTTGAGATACGATATTATTTCATCAATATTTGAAATGAATACAATATTATTATAAGGGAATTTGGTGTTATTTGCATATCTAAAGATGACAACATCAAATCAATGCGATTAAAAAGAAGATTTCGTGAATGTCAACAAATCATCAACATCCTCAGGTGATCCCAAAAAAATTGGAGTTCTTTGATGTATTTCTTCAGGAATAACGTCCAATAAATCAATTTTACCCGTAGATGCTTTTCCTCCCGCATTTTTTATTATATATGCCATAGGGATGCATTCATACAATAGACGAAGCTGAAAAATAAAAATCTAGCTGTACAGAAAATTTCATTTTGTTGAAATATCAATATAATTTTATGTATATAGAATAGACGAAAGCTTTACTAAAAATTTTTGATACTTAATGAAACTAAGATAAAATATTCGAGAAAGCCCCAAGATCGGTAAATAACTAAATAAATTAATGAATCAATAAAAAGAAATAAACTTACCTTGCCATTGGGATATGCGCTGGTACTTGGGTATAAAAATATGCCACCGTACTTCATTGTTCTATGAATATCCGCCACCATTGACCCCACGTATCGAGCTCCATACGACTTTCCTTTAGCGGGATATTTCTTCGATTTGATGTATTCTTTAATAGCTACTTCCCACGTACCCTCAGATCCTTCATTTATACTAAATTAATAAAAGAAGAAAAAAAAATTTAATATTTTGAATTAAGTTAATCACAACTTACAGAAGCTATAGCGAAATAAAATTTGTGTAATAATATTATTCTTATGATTCATTTAAAGAGGACTAAACATGTCTTCTAAAACATATAAACCTGTAAATATTTCCTCTTGTTGGTATTTTTATATTCTGTTCGGTTAACATGAACTCTCCAATAGCAGGATCATATGTAAATCCATTGACACTCTGTCCGACTGACAATACAATCATAGTCGCTGATCCATATAATGCATAGCCAGCAGCAATCAAATTGTCGCTAGATCGTATAACATTTTTTAGCTCAGATTCCATTGTTATCCCAGAGGATTTGTATATGCTGAAAATAGATCCAATGGATACTAAACAATCAATGTTTGATGATCCATCCAGTGGATCGAAGCATACGACATATTTTCCTCGTTTCTCTTTTGCAACAATTATCGGAGTTTCATTCTCTTCACTAATAAGTATACACGTTGTGCAAGTAGAAGATAGTACGTTTATGAAAATTTCATTACTGAGTTTATCAAGTTTCGTAGTTTTTTCCCCTTGGACATTTGTTTCTCCAGAAATGCCATATCTGAAATTGATCATGAAAATTTATCAATTGACACTTAAAACATTTATTAATATGTTACTTCTAGAAGTATTATTACTTTCATAAAGCATGACAGATAATTATGTAAATCGTGAAGTAGCAATTTACTGACAATTTTTAATGCTGCGATATGAACGTGAAGTTCGTGGTGTAAAATGATGGAAACGAGTATAAATTTGATGTCCAATTCGAAGGCAATGGTATCAAATTGCGTCCCGGGAAAAAGTTTTTCACACTTATGTAGATTCTAATGTACGTCTAATTAACCATTTTTAGATTTACAGAGACATATAAAAAAATAAAAATTGCAATGTACTTTATTGTATATTATGTAGACTGAAATGTACATTGATCTACGTACATAATCATAAAAAGTTGCAAATTTTTTGAAGATCTACATAAATCTACGTAAACATAATCTTGACTATTTAGGTTTACAATAAATTTATAACTTTTTTTGATTGTTAGATGTACGGAGATCAACGTACATCTAAATAGATATACATGCATTAAATCTAACGGAACTTAAAGGTGTTTGATATAGAATCTAAAGCGTACCCGGGAAAAAATGATTTCGCTTGATCAAATATAATTATATATGGGTCATTCTATGTCAAATCGACCAATAGTTGGAATCGACCCCTTTCGATTTGGACGAATTTTGGTCAGAAGTTTTCTTTTATCATATAACGAAGTTCTGCCAAAGGAAAAAAAATAAAAAAATTTTTTTCAAAAGATATGCAAACTCAAAATTTCGCGATTTTTCCAGTTTTTCAATTTTGTTTTTGTAATATCTCGAACGCTAGTATAGATACAGGAATAATCTTTCATTTGTTTGAAAGGGGACACTTGGAGCTATTAAAAAAAAAATATTTTGCAATTAGCTCCAAGTCGTCCCCTTTCAAAACAAATGAAAAGATCATTCCTGTATCTATACTAGCGTTCGAGATATTACAAAAACAAAATTGAAAAACTGGAAAAATCGCGAAATTTTGAGTTTACATATCTTTTGAAAAAAATTTTTTTATTTTTTTTCTTTTGGCAGAACTTCGTTATATGATAAAAGAAAACTTCTGACCAAAATTCGTCCAAATCGAAAGGGGTCGATTCCAACTATTGGTCGATTTGACATGGAATGACCCATATAGAATATATATAATTACTAGCTGTTACCCGCCTGCTTGGCTGAGCACTTTATAGAATTGCATTTTTAGATCTAGACTTGAAATTTAATTGGATTATTGTTTTGATTTGCACAGATTCCAAATGAGCATTGAAAGTTTTAGTTAAAGTCATTGCAAGTCTCATAGGTGAAGTTGAAATCTGTTTAGCTTCAAGTGCAAAGAATTTTTCTGTTATTTAAAATTTTCTCAGTGACATCAATTTTTTATAGAAAATTAATTTAACATGTTTTTTACGAATTCTATTTAAATAAGTAGCCAAATTTATTTTTCACATATCTAGTGCTTGGAAAATGCATTCATTTTAATCTGTTACATTCCCGCGATCCCGCAATAACAACAATTTATAAATTATGTAATCGGCAAAAATAACATGTATGTAAAATTCTTATTCCGTTGACTGAATTACTACCCCTGAATAAAAAAAAGTATTGAGACAAAGAAAAAAGTATTGAAAAGTATTAGATTGACTAGAAAACCAATACTTTTCAATACTTTTTTCAAAAATTTTGATAACAATAGATTAAAGAAAAAAAGCAACTTTTATAATCAATTAAAATTTATTATTTTTGAAAGTGTGTGACGACAAAAAGTTAAGTATATATTACGTCAGCTAAAAATAAAGGCTACTAATAACTAAACTTTTCAACCGATGATACTTTTTGAAATCTACTTAAAGAATTTTCACATTATGGTATAATTAAAATAAAAAAAGTTAATCACTAACATATTTACAAACATGTAAAGAATAAAACTTACAATTTTGCTATACCAGCTTTTCGTATAGCCGAGCTTATGGCTTTCACAGCTGTTTGAATAGCATTTATCAGCAATGTAAAATCACCAGTTGCACCAGAAATTTTTTTCTGTTCTGATAAAACAAAACTAGTTAAAGTCACACATTTTGTATCAAAAGATGATTCATGTAAGGCCATTTTAGTGAAAATGATATATTTGATGTGAAATTCGTAAACGATATGATTTATTAATTTATATTCGAGACAAATATTCTGTTAACACTACTGTAAGAGTATTTTTTTAGAACTGTAATCAATTTTATATTTCAAAATGTTGATGACATAGGAGTCATTAAGATAATGTGTTTGGGTCGATTTATAAAAATGATTAGTTGTTATTGAAGACTGTTTTTTGTAAACAACATGGAATAAAAAGACAAACAACACTGATAGAAGGATTTGTTTATAGTTAAAAATAAATCCTCCTGTCAGTAAAATGTTTAAATCAATACAATATTTAAAGAAAATGATAAAAACTTTTTCAATAGCATTAAAAAAAGGGGATAGGATATAAACTCTTAATCCATCTTCTATATATATATATATATATATATATA